TCCATTTTTTTCTATACTTTTTATACATTTTTGAACTCCAGTTTTGAAAACACCAAAGTCTTTTCTTTCTTCTGTGAATTTACCTGAACAGAAATGTTTTGTTACGAAAGCAACAACGTGCCAAAGAACATTCAGAAAAAAGGAGCTTGAGTGGTGTTTGTGTGCCTTTGTGTATAAACAACGCAGGACACCTAATGGATACACACTAATTTTCTAATCGTACAAACTGACAGATCCTCACTGGGGTGCTAGAGGCTCCAAGCAGCTACCAATTTTCATTGAAGTTCCCCTGATAAAACCTCCAGGCTGCTTTTCTCTGCTTATCTAATGGGGCACAAAGCAAAAAAAAGATCTGGGGAGATGCTACCCTTTCCCCTGCCCCCTCATCATCATCAGTGACCAGTTGGATAGGTGTTTGAAATATCACTTAATGGGGTCATACCTAATGAAAACAGTTATCAGTATTTTACCTACAAACACAGATCTTCCACACCTTCATTAGAATCAATAACACATGCACACATAATCTTCCTTAGGATTAAAAACACACACTCACACAGAGATGACTCTCCAGCTATACCCCCTGCCTGAAACACAACCCTTCACCGTCCAAAAAAGAAAAAAAAATCCAATATTCATTAAATGCTATTATTCTTTTACTTTATGTCTTTGTAGATGCCTCTCAAACGTTTCCCCATTTGGCTAGGCGGCTAGCCTGCTGGGGATTAGAAAGTCAAGGAAAATGTGGAGATGTATGCTCATTAAAAGCTCATTAAAAGCGCAATGTATCATTTCATCTTTTTTTTTTTTCAATTTTAATTGACAATTACGATATATAAGTTAATGTATCCATTAGTCTAATTAAATAACATTGGGTTAATATTCCATTTGCAAATGTTTACTGCCTATTTTCCCATAGGATTTTTTGCAGCATCCTAAATAATTTATCTTTCCACTTTCCACAGTTCTCGTGCTTTGATCGGGTCCTTGTTATTAATACTCAATTTGTATTAAACTAATATATTGTGTGTTCTGTTAGTCCACTGTGTGTATAAGAATGGACTGGTTTCTGCGTGGTTAGGTGTCAGAATCTAAACAACAGTATCATTAATGAGTGCATTTCTCCCGTAGATCTGATGAAAGACTGAATGAGTAGGTAGACCTTTGGGTGCCTGAGTGCTTGTGTAGCAATGAATCATTCTCTGTGATTTTTTCCGTCTTCAATAATGAATTTACGTTAGAGTTTAGCACACTGTTCATGTTGAAGAGTACTCACTTTCTGCTTGCACTGTACATTAGCTTACCTGTTTACATGTATGCAAGTGTGTAGTGTAGGCCTATGGGAATGTGTGTGTGTGTACATATGTTTACATGTGTTGTGTGTTTTATGTTTTACGTGTGTGTGTATGAGAGAAAGATAGAAGCTGCAGCGTGGTGTGTTAGCCTGCTGGGCTGTGTGCATGCTGAGCGAGCTTGTGTTGTGACAGTGGAAGCCAAGCCTGCCTATGTTGGCCCACAATCTGCACACGGCTCTCTCCCACGCCTGTGTGTGTTTGCGTGAGAAAGAGACAGTGTGAATGTGTGTGTGTGCGTGTGTGTGAGAGAGACAGATAGAGAGTTCAGGCAGTTGACATTTCCATCTTTTCTTTGAAGTTTTGACTCTGCATTTTGTTGCAGGGGGATAAATGTAACATTTTATTCACGCTGCTGGTCTCTAGGCTTTGTTTGAAGCAATTTATTGCTTTTATTATGAAAACAATTACAGTACTGTGTAAGTCAGAGACCACCCTTCATTTATTTAATTTCCAGTCAAAACAGCCATTAAGTACAAGTTATTCATTTTTCAGCATCAGGAAAAAAGCAGATAACATATTTAACAGAAAATTACACACAACATTACACTCAACAACTAAATATTTCAGATTTTCACTCTTTGCCTTTAATACAGCTTCCATTCTTTTTTGGAGCTTTCCGTTTTTTAAAGAAAACTGCAAGAACAATTTCCACCCCTCAGAAGTTCAGTATTAAAAGTTGGTTGCACTTTTTGCTTCTCCTGACCCAAGCAGTCCCAAACACATTCAGTGCTGTCGAGGTCTAGGCTCTGAGGAGAACAATTTATTGTTGTAAAAAACACCTGCAGCGTCTTCGCTTGAATAGCAAATTTTCTTTTTTTTGTCTGTTTCTTTTTCCAAGTAACAGCTTCTTGACAACTACATCTTTGTGGTCTTCTCACAGTGGAAAATGGACAGAAACACCTGTAGATTTTTTTCAGATCTAAAGCAAGACAGGAGCTTGATTTTCTTCTATATCTCAAAGAGGAAAGCTTTAAGTGCTGTTTATCTGATGGTGACAGTTTTGGTGGCCTACCAGGTCTTGCACGGTTGTTAGGAGTCCCACTTTTGCTGTACCTTATATAAAATATGTTTTGGAAACTTTTTTTCCACTAACTGTCCTCTGATTTTCCCCTTCCTTATGCAAGTGGATTATCTTGTATCAGGTCTCCTCAGAAATATCTGAAAAATGGATAATTTGTTTCTAATGGCCACTTTGACTGAAAATTAAATAAATGAAGAGGAGTCACTGACTTTTGCACAGAACTGGATGTTACAATAAAGAGCTCAAACCTTGTTGAGACGCCCCCAACCCACCCCCCTCATGTCTTAGATAATGGCAATTTTTTTTCTGTTGCTGCCCTTTATGGGCTCCAAAGAAACTAATAAAACATTTGCATGAATATAAATTATTGATGAAAACACTGAGGCTCGTTCTTTTATTACTCTGCAAATATTACAATTAGGACTGTCCTCAACTGTGAGTGTGAGGGCATGTGTGTGTGCCACATGCGCTGGTGTTTTATCTCAAGTGAAGAACCTGGTTCTGGCTTCCTGCTGAGCTCTCCTCCGTTAATCTTTTGAGCGTGTGTGTGTTTGTTATGCTGGTGGGTGGAATTCCTGTGACTGAAGTAGTTGCTGCCTCAGTTGGCTTCCCTTTACCCCTAGGCAAAAGCTGAAATGAATGGTGACAGATAACCCCAGCCTAGCTCTGCTGTGGAAATGGCATCAGCTGCTGGGGCCATGTGTACAGACACACACACACATATATATATATATATATATATATATATGTGTGTGTGTGTGTGTGTGTGTGTGTGTGTGTTGCTCACTGCCCTGGAGCAATCAAGGAAGTGGGAAAGGATATGCATAGCGCTGTGTTGTGTGCGTGTATCATTAACCACAGCACAGCTCACTCATCCTTCAAGCTCTGCATAAAAGCGCCTCAGAAGTTCACTTCATTCATACTAACCTTTCCTACCCTCCACTCCGCACTACATATATGCACACTAGACAGAAAATAACAATACAATATTAAAATGTAATACAATACAATATATATGTATAATACATAGTTGAAGAATCATTTTTCCAATCATGAAGTAATAGTCTGCGGCCTTAACATAAGAAAAAAAAGTGTGTTATTTATTTGTTGAGTTTATGAGAGTTACAGTACTGTGCAAAATCAGAGACCTTCATTTATTTAATTTTCAAAAAATGGCCATAATGTAAGTTATTAGTTTTTCAGAAGATATTTTGAGGACATTAGATATTTAAGATTATGCACAAAGAAAATGAAAGTCAAGTTTTTTTGAGTTTTGGAAGTTGTTAAAAAATAGGACTCCTAACAACAGTGAAAGACCCGGTAGACCACCAAAACTATCACCATTAAATAAACAATGCTTAAAGTTTTCATCTTTGAGAGACAGAAGATCTAAGGAAATCAAGCACCACTCTTGCGTCTTGCATTGGAAAAAAATCCACAGGTGTGTCTGTCCATCCTTCCACTGTGAGAAAACAACTCAACAATATCGGTCTGAAAGGATGTGTACCTGTCCTGAAGCTGTTACTGAGAAAAGGAAATCAACAAAAAAAAAGAAAAGTTTCAACAAATGAAACAAAGAAGCTGCTGGTGTTCTCAGAACAATGAACTGACCACTCCAGACCCCAGAACTCAACCTGAAGAAATGAACTGAAGTTGTGGTCTCTGCACAGTACTATAATTAAGCTGTTTAAGTTAATTTAATTTGGTTTGTTTGCATTTTACTGTTCACTGGGCTTGTCACTGTATCATGGGGCAGTGTCCTCTTTGTGTTCATTACTCTAATACACAAACACACAGCATCCACTATGTACACTATGAAGACTAGAGCAAGGCGGAAAGAGTGTAGTAACCACAATACAATAATATGCAAATAACTATTCCACTAATACTAATATAATACTAATATAATACCCAGCCCGAGTGCAAATACTAACTAAAATAGCTTCATTGTCAGGCGGTGTTTTTCTGTTTGGCCGAGAGGGTCTTGGGGAACACGGCTGTCAGCTCAGTACAAACAGCCTCAGCAGTTTTCACTTCACTAAGGCTTCCTATTGAACAGCTTAAAGATCTGGTCTTATCCAGAGAGACTAAGAGAAGGAAAAAGAGAGAGAGGGAGGGAAGGGTGGACCTCCTGTCCGAAACGAGAAGAGAGCCTCTCCCATTTGGCCCCCAGCTTTCAATTTGTGCTTTTCTGCCAATAGGGCCAGTATAGCTCCGTTTCGCATTTACCATTCACTTTATGTGTGCGCTGTGGACGTAGGACTGTCTGTTTCAATTAATGAGGATGAGCGCGGCACTCCTCTGCGGAGCTTTCCTGCACTTGTGTGGCGAGATGTTTAAAGAAAGCAATAAGGAGAAGAGGAGCACTGCTAGCAAACCCCACTGCTGCTGCTGCAGGGGTTCAGCTCCAGTCAAACAACTGCTGACGGCTGCCGAGACTTCTCAGCCGTACACGACAGGGAGAGGATGTTCAGTCAAAATAATTCAAGCCAAGACGCTGTCAGAGGTTTCCAATGGAAACTTATCCTCAATGCCCACACACACACACAATCGCACCATTCACACACGCTAATGCCACAAAGTGGTAATGTCTCTCTCTCTCTCTCTCTCTCTCTCTCTCACAGGACAGAGCCTTGGATATGGTTTTGTCAATTACATTGACCCAAAGGACGCAGAGAAAGCCATCAACACGTTAAATGGACTCAGACTTCAAACCAAAACTATCAAGGTACTGTAGACTAATCACACACACACACACACACACACACACACACACACACACACACATCATCTAAACCGCTTATCCTTCAGGGTCGCGGCAGGGTGCTGGAGCCTATCCCAGCTGTCATTGGGCGGAAGGCAGGATACACCCTGGACAGGTGTAGACTAATCAGACTGAAGCAAATATGTATTGTATTGTCTCTGTTGTAAAACCTCCAGAATGGTAACTTTACAAGACAAAGAAAAAAACATTTGTAACTTTTAAATGAAGATAATGTAAAAGGTTTTATTTCAAGTAATTCTGGACTGTTTCTATTGGTCACACCATGTAAAGAGCAGCTGGATATTTCAAATAGTGTAAAAAAGGAGCTACAGAGTTTAGTTCCAATATATTGTTGTTCCAATGTACAGTACTGTGCAAAAGTCTCAGGCACCTAGCACCTGGTTTAAAATCATTTATTTTTATTATAGGTGTAAGTACACCATATATCATATTTTATATATATATATATATATATATATATATATATATATATATATATTTATATATAGCAAACAGAAATATAGCAAAAAGTAACAAGAATTTTTTATTTTGAAAAATTAGCTGATAGCTTGCAAGCTTGTTAGAAGAACAAACGTTCCAGATGTCTCCTCGATGACACTAGCCACCACATAGATGTTTTAAGTTACATCACCAGCACACCTGATTTAAAATAATTAAGCATGTTGCTGCTGTCCAAAAAATCATGTATCTTTTTATTTTTTATTTCTTATTTCTGAAGTTTTTATTTTTCTACATCATTCTTAAACAACAGCTGTCTTTTACATTGTGTGAAAATTTCATGATGAATGGATCAATATAAATTCTCCAAAACTCCTAATTTGCTGATATAGTTATATATATAACATTTTTTGGAGAGTGGTGACATATTAGCCAAAGCAGGTACTGAATCATAACTACAATTAATACTGAGCATCCATGAGGGGAGGCTTAAAAAGGTTGAACAAAAATATTGACACGTTGTAAAATGTTGTAAAAACTACTTATTGTATTGCATGTTATTTGTATTTACTGTTAGCATTTTTCTGAGCAAACAAACAAATATCTTGCATCTCAGAAATGATCATTTAATAGGAGAAGAAACTGTGATAACTTTTATGTAAGTTAATGTAAAATAGTTTTCTGAAATGCTCACATACTGTAAATGTAACAATCAGGCATAGGATTTGATTATCAAGAGACAAACAGCAGGCAGAAACGACCAGAGCAGGGGAAATCCATGAACCGACAAAGGAAGGCAAAATAAGGAAGACAACAGGACTGAAGAACCGGGACAAACCTAACAGACTGATAAGTGAAACACAAAAAACGAGTAGAATCAAACAGGGCAAGGCAGAGAACAAGGACAGACTATATAAACACTAAAACAAAATGAAGAACAGTGGATGAGGGCTAAGATTACAAACAAAACATAGGTGCATACAATGACAAGGGGGTGGGGCTAGGGCAAACACGAGGCCTGATGAGGGAAATCTTGACAGAAAAGGACAGCCAATGTTTTCAAACAGAGTTTAAAAAAAAGAAAAAGCAAGCTTTTGATGTGACTGTGTCTATGTAGATGTGTGCGACTATATATATATATATATATATATATATATATATATATATATATGTGTGTGTGTGTGTGTGTGTGTGTGTTTGTGTGTCAGCAGTAAGTGTATGTTAGGGGGGCGTGTGAATCTGCTGCTGATTTTGTTATGATATGGCACGGCAGTAATGGAACAATATCTCATTTGGGTGGCAATATGCTCTTGCTTTTCCTCCCCAATTAGTCATCAGCCATTTCTCACAACTGCACAAGTCAATTCACTGAATGTTTCCTGTCACCATTTCTGCCAGTGGAGCCGCATTGATTAGCACATGTGGTGTGTATTGACTCGTGCTGGGCGGCGGTGCTGCAACACAAAGCGAGAGGAGGGGAAATCCGCCTCATTAAGATGCAGAAGGAAATAGGAGAGCGACTGAAGGGAGAAAAGGGAAAATAGTGTAATTGATATGCAAATGCATCTCCAAATGTCAAATCATGGAGTCACACGAAAAAGGAAAAATAGAATGTATAATGAAATGATGCTAAAATGCTAAGTAGTCGCCTCAAATGTGGTTTTTTATACTAACACTGGGTAGAGAAGAGAGGTAGACTGAGAATGTGGAATCGCTCCAAGCAAAATGGTTTGAGTCAATGGTACTTTATGTTTATTCAGCTGAAAAATGTAACCTTGTGCATTTTCCCAAACAGCATGTTTTAATGTAAATTTAGAAGCAGCTGCTTTTGACTGTAAATCCTGGCCGCTGTTCATATTTTTTTTTATTCTGAGTCACGGCGTAATCGGGCTGTGTGTGCCATCATCTGGTGTATAATCCCTGGCCTCTCACTTACATCCACCCTAATCTAATCAGATTGGATTTCCCCTGCTTAGGCCAACAGGAATACACAGCACCCAGTCTTTGAGGATATGCTGCCTTGAGAGAGAGAGTGCAGAGGACAGAGAGAGAGTGAGAGAGAGAAAGAGATCAAGTGAGACTGAGTGAGAAAGAGCAGGAGAAAGAAAGAGAGAGGAAAAAGAAGGGGTAGGGAGAGTGTGAAAGAGTAAGAGAAAAATGAAAAAGGAAGAAAAAAGGAGAAAGCAAAGAGACAGAGAGAGTAAGAGAAAGAAAGGAGAGAGAAAGTGAGAGAAAGATAGGCAGAGAGTGAGAAAAAAGAGGAAAAGTGAGAAAAAGAGAACAAAATTGAGAGAGACAGAGAGAAAAAAGAAAGATGAGTGAGGACGTGAGGGAGTAAGAGTGAGTGAGAAAAGAATAAGAAAGAAAGAAGAGATGGGGAGAGAAAGTGTGAGGGAGTAAGAGAAAAAAGAAAAGGAGAAAGAGAGAGAGAGAGAGAGAAAGACAAAGAGAAAGAGAGGGTACAAGAGAGAATGAAACAAAAAGAAAAAGAATAAGTGACGGAGTGAGAAAGAGAGTAAGAGAGAGTGAAAACAGAAGAGAGAGAAAGTAAAAGAGAGAGAGAAAATACGAGAGTAAGAGAAAGAAAGAAAGAGAAAGACTGGGGGTGAGAGAGTGTCTGTCAGAACTGTTGTTGAAACAGGGCTGAACTGAACAATGGGCGTTTTCCAGAGTGGCAATAGCAGGTGGCTCTGTGAGTGGGATTGTGGTGACTCTGGTGTTGGTTTCAGTCTCAGCTTGGAGCTCGTCAGAGATGACATGAGTCATTCTGTGTGTTTTTAGCTCATCGTCACAGCTTCCTGCTGCACATCTCTCGCTCTCTCTCTCGCTCTCTCTCTCTCTCTCTCTCTCTCTTTGGCATACTGGAAAATTCATGTTAGTCACATACTGCATACTACCTTTGGTGGGCACAGTCAGTACGCAAGCAGTATGTAACAGGTACACCACTAACACGTTAACTCACAAAGGCCCCAAAAAGTATTTGACCACTTACTTATTGGTAAACATTAATGAGGTTCTTTGCGTCACTTCATGAAATATTTAACAAAATGCAGGGATGCACCAACATGGGAATTGTGGTTCGATGCGCATATCAGATATGTACATATCTACCGATCCTGATGCAGATGCCTAAATAAAATAACAATAAAATGTAGAAACTGGGACTAGATCCACCTGGATTAGCATTACATAGAAATATAACATTTACACATACAGGAAAATACCGACATTACAGCAAAGTAGCCCGGTGTCACCTAAATTTATTGAACATATCATGGATATCATCTGTACTCATAGAAGGCTGACCAACTACATGTTTCATAAAGGGAGCAAATTAGACTGTTTAACTGGATTTAGTACAACACAGTATGCCAAATATTTAATAAAAATCATTTTGCTCACAGTTTTTCATAATATTTTTAAAATGTAGCGCTACTGTTTCTTTTTTTCTCTGTTCCAACTGGTCAGATGTCTGAAAAAATAAATATTGTGACAAGAATCACAATATTATATTTTTGCCATATTGCCCATCTCTACTTGTGGACTGCAATAAAAGTTATCAAATATCAGCCAGAAATATCGGTCAAATTTAAACATCTGTCTGACGTTTATATTTTTTAAGCAAATATCTGCTGATACCAATATGATTGTGTTATCAAAAGCACATTCCTAACAAAATGATATTTGTTTCAGAAAAAAACTTCTAGCACAACACCAGACTGATCGTAGACTCCAAAAAATACAACCGGACTGCACGTAGGGTACTGCAAAGCAGGTACTATAAACAGATCTCATTGAGCTTGTGTTCATGGATGAAGTCGTGAACTCAGAGAAGTGTACAAAGGCATTTTGGATGCAAACCTGCAGAAGTGTCTGCAAAGACATTGCTAAACCATTTCAGTCTTGGAATGGTCTGTTGAAAATAAATGTCACTTGGTTTGACATTTTGTTTCCTAACACAGTGAACATAATTCAAAATGGCACAAATGCTGAAATATTTTTCGGAGCCACACTCTATTATTGGGTCTGAGCTCCAAACTGGATATGGAACCAGTGAGAGCAGTTTTTGGGCCTGAGGCCTGAATTTATTGTAACACTTACTTCATTGGAGCCTAATATTTACTTCCTTTCATAACCTCCCTCTCGCTCCCACACACACACGCACACACTCTCTCTCAAGTGTTTCTCTGTATGCAGCCAGAGGGTAATGAAGCAGGAGCCATCTTTCGTGACTTCCCTCACATACTCTTTCTCTCACACACACACACACACACACACACACACACAAGTACACTCCTTCAGCTGGAACTGTACTCCTCACACACACCCCATGCACACTCCGTGCATGATCAATTTGACTCTCTCTCTCTTACTCTCTCTCATACATACACACACACACACACACACAGTCAAGGAAATCAACACAAACAAACAAAGATGGTCCACAATGCGTTTCTCGCAGCAGGACTCCATCTAATCCACCCGGTCTGCAAGTACTCTAACGC